AATGAAAACTAAAATTCCAGCCAAAAAAGGCTGCCACAAAACATCAGTTCTTCCTTTGAGGCTTCACATTAAATTATATCAGTTATGATTTTTTAAAAAAAGTCTACGGTAAATCACATGCGTTCATTTGCAACAAAATTGAGCTAAGAAACGTTCCTGTTTCCTTAAATGAAAAATGTTGGCTGAATAAACACCACTTTACTGGAATTGAATGGAAGAAAACGCCAATACTGGTGCACTTGAGAATGAAATACCATGAAATACCAGCGTTTTTCATTTCTGGCGCTCATAGAAATTTAAATACATTAAACTAAGCAAATGTCCCTCTGTCAACCCCCAAAAGGAGCCAACATGTTCGAAATACACCCAGATCGCTATAGAAGGAAGGATACAAATCAAAGTAATTTTCTTTACAAGTAACCATAGTTGAAAATGATTGCAGCAATTCACTATTTCACACGGTATGGACGCGAAGGTCGAAAAACATCCGCCAGTTTTAAAAAAAAAAAGTTATTTTTATTAGCCAGAGAAGGGGCTGTTTCTAAAGAAAATATGATTTCATCCATTGATCTTCCGTATGCTTTCTAACTCATAAATCTGCTCTTGCAACTGTTATGCGAGAGTTCAGTCCTGCACTTCAGATTTTAAGTCGACATCAAAACTGGTATTAAGCACAGAAAGGCAGCGTGGAGAGTAAACTACAGCTTAAAGGCTTTTAAATGAGAAAAACTTCTGTAAGAAAATAAACATTGAAACCTAATGCTCAATCATTTCCCTTAGCAGTAAGAAAAACAGCATTAAATCACCTATCCACGTGGGAAAGGTTTTTTTTTCTTCTTCTGTTAGTCTTTTATCCCCCTAAAATAAAACAAGATTAAGGATTTCAATATTGAAATACTAACCATTATTATTCTACAAAGGTTTATTTAAACAGAGGCTTTGTAATTGAACGCCGTTCTGTTAGAGAAACTACCTACCGATGTATAGCGATTTTCTGTGGTCATTTAACTAAATCATTTCCTCGCTAAGAAGCGTGTTCTTATCAAAATATATTACGCCGAACATATATTCATTTTAGTGCTGTGGCTCGCTTGGATCAGGTGTGCCCTGTTAGTTGTAGTAATAATTATAACTGTCATAATAATAAAGACGACGACCTTGCTGTATAGATTTGCAAGACTACAAATCTATATGCAGTTTTCCCATATACATCTATATGGGAAAGAAAACAATGCCAGAGGTTCGCTGTACGTGCTTTACTCTTGATGCTGTAGGAGGCTATTTAATATTACATCGTAGTGTTAGGACTATATCTTATCCTCGGGTTTTTGAAAGGCTGCTGCAGCTCGCCTGCAGCACGCCGGCACCGGGATGGCTACTGGTCATTTCCCAGAGCAGCTAAAGCGAGAGGGCCACTGCACACCCCTGTTTGTCTTGCAGATTCTTCTCTCCACGGAAGTTTAACTCTCTTCTTGTACCAAACCGAAGCGAATTGCCCAAGCCGCTGATTTTCCTGTTTGTTTTTTAGGTAGCACAATTTCCTCCCTTCCTAGGTTAAATCTAGACCAGTAAAGTGGAAACAGGGGAAACGTCCAAGTGTTGTAAACTGGCTTTTCCCAGAGAATTAATTTAAGAGTTAAACCGTACCCTAAACACAAACTCAGGAGGGAGCATCATGGTCATATTCATTTAAAGCCTTTGTTTAATGTAATATCAAGGTAGCTTTCCCTCTAGCATTAGGGCTTTCGTTAGTTGCATTCAATAAACAACGTCTTCGGATTTATATTGGAAGGAATCATAAGAAACAACACCATGGTTGCTTTGCGTGTATCTATTTTACATTCCCCTCCCCCCAAAAAAATCCTAAAAATAATCCAAAATCTGGCTACATAATGATTACAAATGAGTATGTGCGGAAAGATGTCCGCATGCTATTTCTGTCTATTCACAATTTTCTACCTGTGTATGGAGTCTATATCTTCCTAGATGTAACCATTTATAATCAGTCTAAATAGATGTGAATTCATTAGATAAATAAGGATACAGTTACAAGGGTTGCACTGTAGCTGTTCTTAAGTAGATACCCGCTAGGCATAGTTATTCCAATAAAAGATTTGGAAACTAGTAGGTGGGTGACGTAGGATGTCCTGTGATGACGTGTTATTTCCCCATCTTCCTTAGCCTGTTATCTCCACTCTTTTAGCCGGGAGAATGTCTCTCCCAGTGCTTCATGTCTATTTCTTCCACATGGGTTAAGAAATAGCAGGAAGATTCCCACACATAAATATAGTCAAAGATTTCTCCCTGCTCCCTTCTTCAATTTTCCCTCCCAGCTCCCTGATGTACAGTTTCCTTGACCCCCTCTAGCTGCGGCCCCCCAAGCTAATAAGTAGGCGAGACCTGGACTGGAGACACAGGCCCCCACCGCAGAAAATGCTATGGACAAAACTTGTATGGGCTAAGCACATCCTGGGGCTGGCCACTGCCTGCAGCCCCAGTTACCGCGAGGCATTGCAGCTTTGCTTTGCTCAGGCCCGAGATCCCCCGGGAAATCCAGGATGCGCCCGGAGCCCCTGCTCCCCCCCTTCGAGAAAGGTGACAGACGCGTCCAGCTCAGCCCCACAGGTATGGCGGGTTGAGTGTCAGTGGCTGCGATTCGTGCTTCTTACTCACAGACCCAGAGCTCTTCTGAACTACAGAGGGGGGAGACTTACTTTCCGAGCAGCGCAGTGCACGCCAAATAGCCCCTCCAGAGCAAGGCGTGCTTCTGTTTGGGTGGCTCGGCAAGAGACGTTGCGATCTGTGCACTCTCCTATGCCTGAAGATGGGCGCGTGTGCCCGAAAGCGTGCAAATACTCTCTTTTTTTTTTTTGCAGCTATCTAGTTGGTCGAACAAAAAGATATCACCTCTACCAAGAGTTCCGATTGCTCGGGGTCTGTCCTGCACCCTCTTCTCTCACACGCAAACAGATCCAGAGGGAAATACAGGGGGAGCAGGACTAAATGAGGTCCCTCCTAACCCTAAGATCCCCAGGACTCTCTGATCTTCTCCTGGCTACAAGAGCGGACGCCACACATGCGCGTCCAGGGGATTTCCCCCCCCCCGCCTTCTTTTGAGCCAGACTCTTTGTCCTTGCCTGCCTTCTTCATTTGCAGCTCGCCTTTAATTAGGCTCGGCGGGCTCTGCGCGCTGTGTTTAGCCTTCTCCTCTGTCTCTTTTCTCAAATTAGCATATGCTTTGGACAGCAGCGGCTCCGGCTCCGGTGCACTTTGCCACGCAATTCCCCAGTGCATTCAAACATTCCGCTTTGCCACGGAGGGACTGGGATCAGCTATTCTTCTCTTCCCATGATTACTCAGAGCCGACAAGCAACACCATATGCTTCTTCTGATCCAACAACCCGCTGCATAGGCACCAATAATTGACGAGACCCGCTCGAAATCACGCAGGACTGGAGCCTACTGAGACTGCAGGAGTTGACAAATCATTGTTAATAATCCTTTTAGGAACACCGCAGCCCTCAAGAGTTTGCAATAGCTTTATTTTTATAAACTACGCCTTAACAGTATAAAGGACAACTCGATCTCTTTTTAAACACTAGGCAGCCTCCCGTAATGATCTTCCCGGCGCAGACACGCCAGGAATGCGCTGTTTGATTTATTTTTCTTTTCCTTTTCAGGAAAGGCTTTTGGGTCATCTCCGCGCTTGGTTTCAAGTCATGAGATGGCTAATGTTGGTCAAGGAAATTAGTTTGGAAATGGGTTTTCTTTGCAAAAGCTGGCGAGGGAAGGCAAGGGGGAAGGATACCTTTCCAACTCTTCCCTCGTCCAAATCATTATAAGTGGCCTGAATGTCTATGATCTATTCAAAAGTGGAAACACAATATTATTTTCTTAAAGGCTTGAGTTTTGATCCACTTTTAAACGCAGGTACTACTATGTTGCCCTACTTTTTCCGGACAAAAGCACCCGCTCAGTCGCAGAGCTGGCCTTAGCTTGTAAAGCAAGAGATCTGATCTCTTTTGAAGCGATTTATGTGGTTACATTATTTGTTTTTAGCTCGAAGGGAAGAATTCCCCACTTTGTACTGCTGTCTTCTACCTGTACTATGATCTGTTCCTGGATCCACATAAAAAAAACATTGCCCGTTATTTTCTTCCTCCTCTTCCACATTAAAAGCAAAGGTTTCAGGGTAGGAGGGAACTTTGTTCAGTCCTTAACTTTTCCTCGGGTTTGTTTTGCTTGGCAGCGGGTCTACACATCCATGTGCAAACTCTAGACCGCGCCAAACCTCAAGAATCCCCAGCGCTGGCTGCAGCAGACAAAGCGGGACAATCGCTAAGTCAAGGTGAAGTTGCCCGTTGACTTGTGCAGGAATTGGGGAAGGCCCGAAACTATCGTACTACTACTGGGAAGTTTAAAGTCTTCTCAACCTGGAACTTCTATTAATAGCCCTGACATCAGTCACCCTCTCCATACCGCCCCAATGCCGCTCTCCCCAAGATCCGGCCCCTTCCCAGCACAAGCAAGTCTTGCTGGGTCGCTTTCTTTAGCTGGTGCTGTGCGCCCTAAGTATTGTACCCACCGCTCCAGACTTGAACTAAGACTTTAGGACTTTGCATAGACTAAAGTAAATATTTACCCATATATATTTACCCATATATTAACTCCCCCCCCGGTATATGTGTGATTTGCCCTTTGGGGTGCTATACGTGCTCCGCGGGAAAGCCGATCGCTCGGGGTGGGAAGGGAAGTCATGTTTGTTTTAGGAGAAAACGCAGCTGAGCTCAGTATCTTGAAGTGTTGACAAAAGCCCCGCCGGTCCCCATCCAAACGTGTCGTGCGTACGGAAGGGAAGGGAAAGTGTCTAGGGGCAGGAAAAGGCGCAGCCCCAGCCCCGTCCTTCAGGGACGACCCCGGGCCGGGGACATTCACGGACAAGTCAGCGATCTCCCGGCCCGCGAGGTGCATGCGGGCGGGCAATTCATAAAGGCACTTACCTTCAGGAAAAACCACCCTCATTTTTAAATAGCTGGTGGTGAGCCGGATTATGGATGCTTTGTCCAGTTGAGAGGTGATGGCCGAGGGCAAAGGCAGTAATTTAGCCAGTTCATAAAATTCACTGTTTTCTTTCTCCCGTCTAGTCCGGGCAGCATTTTTGGATTTCTCTTTCATGGTGGTTTTTTCCCCCTTCCTTCTTACAGTTTAAACTCCGCAGCTTCATCCAAAGCGGGGGCAGAAACTTTCAGCGACAATTCATCTTGCAGAAGCCTCAAGCATCGTTGCTGAGCGCGGCTGGTTTGCTTGTTTTGTTTAAAAACAATGAAAAGCCAGGAGTTACATTGAAAAATACACATATATATGTGTGTGCGCGTGTGTATATAGATATATATAATAGATTCACTTTCACACTGACGTTAGCTGAATGCAAGCGGCTTCGGAAAGGTGTTTTTCGATGCAGCTCGGACGATCCAAGGGGCTGCAGAGAAAACTAAATGCCTCCCGCACCAGCCCGCGCCCCAAGAAGGGAGGTCAGTCCTTTCCTTCTGCTCATTGCTGCAAACATAGCTCCTCGGGAAAGAGACATAATAATCCCTTTTATTTTAGTCTTCTGCTGTCCATCCGAGGCCTGAAGTCATTGGTTTTTAGGCTCCTTCAGCAGGGATCTGGCTCAGGTAACTTTCTCCGTGCCACTGTGAAGATAACAGCATGCCTTGGGGTGAGACACCTCCTACACAATGCTACACATACACAACCAGGTCCGTGAGATCCTCACTACATGCCAATGGACAGAAGAGTCCGGAATAAGGCGAATTTTCGCCACCAGGACACTGGGTTCTCGTCTCGGGTAGGGAGTGGGGACAGGAGGAGAAGCAGAAGAAATGATCAGACACCCTCCCTTGTCCCTCCGCCCCGGAACATTTCATCTGCACTCACGTGCATTCAATGACAGGCAGAAATTACATTTTTTAAAGTTTTTTTTTTAAAGGAAATCGACACTTCTGGGGAAAAAAATAATAGCGTCTTTAAATGTCACCAGGACAGGTCGTCCTTAGTATAGCCAGCATGGAATCAAGTGCGCACCGCTCAGATCCTCACACATTTGTACTCTCTCCAAGTGTTCTCGCAACTCCCTGTGGTGGAAGCTTTAGCTTAATTTCTAAAGCCTTCCTCTGACCTGTCCATCCAGGTTAACATTGCAGGTGATTTGGACACATACTACTTCCCCTTCCCGCCTAGGGATGGAGGTCTCATTCTGCCCGAGAGCACATGAAACAAGGAAAAAGCGAATCCAGCTTGACCTGATGCACAGACAGAACCAGCCCAAACTGAAGTGACATCACGGGCAAGGGAAACAAGACTAGAGAGACCCGCTTCGCATTTCTCTTGCACAGGTAACATTGTTCCTCGTCTCGGAGAAGGGATCACCGGATGCAAGTGATCTCCTTTGACCTACCTTCAATCCCGCACCCAGCAGTCTGCAGAGAGCTTTCTCAGGGTGAGGAGCCCAGCTCTTTAATTGAGATCATTAAGAGCAGAGGGAAAGTTTGCTTCTCCCCCAGCTGGGTAGACAGATATTGCCTCCTTCCTATCCCCTTTATGTGCTTGCAGACTCTCCCTCTCCCATAATGGGGACGAAGCTGATATTAATGAAGTAGCCCTAATTTGAGGCTGAGAAATGCCTAATAACTTCTTTATGGCTAAAAGGCTTTTTTAGCACAACTTCATTTCTCTCCCAGCTTCAGCCTAGCCCTCCCTTAATGCCACTCACAGACCCACCTCGCCTCCCATTGGTCGCTGGCTCCCCAAGGTAGGCCTCTCACTGGCCCAGAGGCAGAGTGACGCCACCGCGCTCCGGCCACACCCCCTTTTACCCTTGCGAGAGGCTCGGCGCTGCAGCGCCCGCCCTCTGACCTCGCGGGTCCCGGGGCTGCTGGAGCCCGGGCGCGGGGCCCCCGCGGGGCGCGGGGCTGGGCCGGGGGGGAAGAGGGATGTCTGCCTGGAAGCTTTTGCTCTGCTTCCTCCTGGCTTGCAGCGGGGGCCGGGAAGGCAGCCTCCGGGGCGAGGGGTCCTGAGTTGGTGGGGAGACCCGGTCAGCGCTACCCTTGGTAACACAAGGGACAGCAGCCTCAGAGGAGAGGAGGAACCGCAGCCGGCTGCTTTCTCCCCTGTTTATGACGCTTTCTGGAGAGAGTGGGGGGGCAACTAGGGCACTCGTAGGACAAACGCGGGATTCAGCAGAGGCCAGGACTGTACAGGTTGGAAACAACACTGGGGCGGGGGGAGCAGAGGGAAGAGGGGGATTTTAAAAGCTGTCCTTCCT